CAGACCCAGTGTCTTCCGGAATTCGTGGTGATAGAGAATTGTAAGGAGGACGTAAATCAACGGACTTATAGATGTTCGGTAACTCTACAATAGGAAGAAAATTTAAGTCACCGATTTAATTTATTTTACTGGACTGCCAACATTCTTGAGCAGAACATTAGAAACTTCAACCACTCTGATGAAGAAGAACTTATGTGCATCCACTCTGGCGCTAGCCACACGTATTTTGCGTGAATGACCTCGTAGTGTCGTATTTACTAACCGGAAGAAGTCTTCGTATAAACGACAGCAGTTCTGATCGCGAATGAGGCTGAATCTTTTTATCAAGTCGTCTCGCAGTTGCCTGACCCCCAAAGAAAAGGGATCCGGATTACATAACTGTGTTTTGTAGCGTTATGAACTCAGTCCACTTACAAGTATGGTTGTACGTCTTTGAACTCTTTTCATGATCTCAATGTCTTTAGCGTTCTAGGGTCTCCATGCTTCGATTGGGAACTCCAGTTGCGGCCGCGTAAGCGTTCAAAAGACTTCATTGAAGGAAGAGAAGGGCCGTATCGTGAGGTACAGGACTGATAAAGCGGACTTGGCTGTCGTTGAGTGTCGCAGATGATCATAATTTGCTCGGGAAATTCTCTCCTGAGCTTATCCGAATTATTATTTGCCACACAGCTATCGCCGGTGTTAGAAATAGTGCTCCCCCGCGGGTTTCATCCGCAAACTCCTGGTTTTACATAAATCCTCTGCCCGAGGGGAGTTATAGCGCTGTATACGGGAAGGGGACGATCATAAAGTTTGTTGTTTGACTGCTGGGCATAGAACCATAGTTCAGATGTTTTGCGACGCACGCAGTCGTCGCCTTTGTAGCTTTAAGGATATGACTGTGTCATGTCATTTTTTATAGCCGCCGAGTCGAGTTTAGCAATTTTGTCTTTTTCCTTCTTAATTTGCCTTACACAAAACTGCTAGATTCAGCAACCGACCCGTTTATTTTCCTTAACGTCTCAATGACTCTTTCTGTCCCTCTCAGCAGACAATACTGTATGTACGTTGGTCCAGAGTGGTATTATATTGACTTCCTGCGCGCGTTAATGTGGCTGTACATAGTCTGCCTAAGCCCACAAGAGGTATGTAGTGGCACGCCGGACGTGGGACCCCATATCGTGTCAGCCGCTGCATCCGATTTCTGCATCAGCGGTCTGATGGGTGCAGATAATCGACTAGGGAGAGAGTGAAGCTGACACGGCAACTCGGTGCATTTGTCACTTAAATCAATCTGGGGCGCTAAAAGTTTTTGTGTCGAAAGTTACCAAATGAGAAAGTAATTAAACCCTTCTCAGAACTGAGAGTCCTACAGTTCATAAAATGTACACTCCGTGACACTCCCACTCAGATGCGATCCGTCACCCTCTCCCCCCTCATTTCTGATAAAAGCCTGGTCTGCGTGTGCCGACAGATGGCGCGCAAGTCCAATACCAATATACGCTAATTTACCCGTAAGTCACCGTCCCCACGCTTACCCTGTTGTGGGGCACGTGGTGAATATTGTCGGAGTCTGTGGTCCAAATGTCAGGTTACTTTTTAGAAAGATTTGACGCTGTTTGAACCGCAGCAACGGCATATACGGCCAAGACCTGTCCATTTTATGTGATTAAACTGTCGATGTGGGTTGTTTTCTGCCTAGGTAGCAAGTGCAGTTTTACATGACCGA